AACTGCGAGGAAGTCTCAGGCGGGAGCCCCCTCCTTATGGGGCCCGCAGATCATGTTGGTAATCCGAGCGGGTCATCCAAAACTTGTAATTGTCGTCAATTTTGGGTCCTCGCGCTGCCAGAACGCAGCTCCCAGGCCACATTTTGGACGCAACAAGGAAGTTTTTGGGCTCCTCAGGCCTGAATTTGGAGGAAGTCTCAGGCGGGAGCCTCGTCTCTGAGTGAATTGCGAGGAGCCAACTGTAGGCCACTTCGTGTTCGTCGTGTTCCCAGAACGCTATTCCCGGCACGCATCCACTGGGACGCACCCCTGTGCGCTTCCTCTGGGTCGTGCCCCCGCACGTATCCACTGGGACGCACCCTTGTGCGCTTCCTCTGGGTCGTGCCCCTGGCACGTATCCACTGGGACGCACCCCTGTGCGCTTCCTCTGGGTCGTGCTCCGGCACGTATCCACTGGGACGCACTCCCGTGCGTTTCCTCTGGGTCGTGTTTTGGCACGTATCCACTGGGACGCACTCCCGTGCGCTTCCTCTGGGTCGTGCCCCCGCACGTATCCACTGGGACGCACTCTTGTGCGCTTCCTCTGGGTCGTGGCCCGGCACGTATCCACTGGGACGCACCCCTGTGCGCTTCCTCTGGGTCGTGCCCCCGCACGTATCCACTGGGACGCACCCTGTGCGTTTCCTCTGGGTCGTGTTCGGCACGTATCCACTGGGACGCACCCCTGTGCGCTTCCTCTGGGTCGTGCCCCCGCACGTATCCACTGGGACGCACCCCTGTGCGCTTCCTCTGGGTCGTGTTCCGGCACGTATCCACTGGGACGCACTCTGTGCGCTTCCTCTGGGTCGTGTTTTGGCACGTATCCACTGGGACGCACTCCCGTGCGCGTCCTCTGGGTCGTGCTCTGGCACGTATCCACTGGGACGCACTCCCGTGCGCTTCCTCTGGGTCGTGCTCCGGCACGTATCCATTGGGACGCTTCACAGTTCGATCTACATTCGTGCTTTTGAAGCAGGAAACTATGCCCTTTTTGTTCAATTTTCGTGTTCGGATTCTGGGTTCCGACACGCCCTGGGGTGAGGTGTTCAGGCAGCTTTCGCTTGTGATATCCTCGCAACTCTGATCTCGGAAGTGCCGTGCCCCATGGTGGCCCGGCCACTTTCGCCTGAGACATCCTCGCAACTTTGAGTTCCGAAATGCCCTGAAGTGAAGTGTTCAAGCCACTGCCGCCTGAAACATCCTCGCAACGTTGACCTCGGATATGCCCTGCCACTTAGTGGTCTGGCCGCTTCCGCCTAAGGCATCTTCGAACTCTGACCTCGGAGGTGCCCTACCCCATGGTGTCCGGGCACTTTCGCCTGAGACATCTTGGCAACTCTGGGTTGCGAGATGCCTTGAGCTCAGGTGTTCAGGCCACTTTCACTTTAGACATCCTCGTAACTCTGGGTTCCGATATGCCCTGTGAGAACAATGACGATGACTACAAGCATGACGACGACGACGACTGATGACGATAACGATGACGACGATGACGTCCTCACAACTCTGGGTTCCGAGACGCCCTGACCTGATCCGAGACATCCTCGAAACTCTGAACTCGGAGGTGCCCTGCCCCACGGTGACCCATGCACTTTCGTTTCAGACATCTTCGCAAATCTGGGTACCGACACGCCCTGGGGTGAGGCGTTCAGGCCGCTTTCGCGTGAGCTATCCTCGCAACTCTGACCTCGGAAGTGCCCTGCCCCATGGTGGCCCGGCCACTTTCACTTGAGACATCCTCGCAACTTTGGGTTCCGAGACGCCCTGAAGTGAAGTGTTCAGGCCACTGGCGCCTGAGACATCCTCGCCACGTTGACTCGGATATGCCCTGCTCCCTTAGTGGTCTGGCCGCTTCCGCCTGTGACATCCTCGAGGCTCCGATCTCAGATATGCCCTGAGCTCAGGTGTTCAGGTCAATTACGCGTGAGACATCCTCCGTCCTCGGATCTCGGCGGTGCCCTGCCCCATGGTGGCCGGGCGCTATCTCCCGAGACATCTTGGCAACTCTGGGTTGCGATATGCCTTGAGCTCAGATGTTCAGGCCACTTTCATTTAGATACCCTCGCAACTCTGGGCTCCGATATGCCCTGTGAGGACGATGGCGATGACTACGAATATGACGACGACGCTGATGACGATAACGAAGACGACGGCGATGACGACGATGATGATGGTGATGATGGTGATGATGATGACGACGACGATGACGGCGACGAACGATGACGACGATGACGTCCTCACAACTCTGGGTTCCGAGACGCCCTGACCTGATCCGAGACATCCTCGAAACTCTGAACTCGGAGGTGCCCTGCCCCACGGTGACCCATGCACTTTCGTTTCAGACATCTTCGCAAATCTGGGTACCGACACGCCCTGGGGTGAGGCGTTCAGGCCGCTTTCGCGTGAGCTATCCTCGCAACTCTGACCTCGGAAGTGCCCTGCCCCATGGTGGCCCGGCCACTTTCACTTGAGACATCCTCGCAACTTTGGGTTCCGAGACGCCCTGAAGTGAAGTGTTCAGGCCACTGGCGCCTGAGACATCCTCGCCACGTTGACTCGGATATGCCCTGCCCCTTAGTGGTCTGGCCGCTTCCGCCTGTGACATCCTCGAGGCTCCGATCTCAGATATGCCCTGAGCTCAGGTGTTCCGTTGGTGGCGTTGTTGTTTCCCCGCTGTATGTATGTATATCTGCATATTTGTATGTTTGTATGTGTATGTGTATGTGTATGTGTATGTGTATGTGTATGTGTATGTGTATGTGTATGTGTATGTGTGCATGTGTGTGTATGTGCATGTGTGCAAGTGTATGTGCATTTGTGTATGTGTATATATAAAATCTAAAAGTGTAGGGGGTCCCGTGGTCCCCAAAGTGCACTCAGTTGTCTTTTGGCCGTGTCGGGCCTGGCGGAAGGCGCAAAGGGGGCCGAGAGACGTCCAAGAGGGCGCAGATGGCCCAAGAGCGCTCCAAAAGAGCCCAAGACCGCACAAGAGCGTTTCAAAATTGGTCCAACATGGCTTGAGGACAGGCCAAGAGGGCTTCAAGACGGCCAAGTTGCCCTCAAAAGGATTTCCACGAGGCACTCAGGAGGCGGAACAAGTAGATCTTTCGATTGTGCTTGAAGGTTGTTCGTGTTCTCGCTGTTTCGTGCTTCCGACGGTCCAAGGCAGCATGAGGCCCCAGCAGTCAGCTCAAGACGGCCTAAGAGGAACCCGTAAAGGGCGCCACGACGGCGCAATAGGGCCCCACGATGGCCTAAGAGTGCCCCAAGGCGGCCCAAGAGGCGCCCAAGATCGCCCAAGAGGGCCCCAAGATGGCCTGAAGAGGGGCCAGGGGGAACACGAACCGAAATTCGAGCCTTCCGCCCCAAGAGGCCCCCAACAGAGCCCAAGAGGCCCGCCATCGCAGCGTTGCATGACATGGCATGGCACGGCACAGCACGACAGAGCTAACCATGTCAGTGCATATCACAGTATATTTCAGTTTTCACTAGCATTGCATTCCATAGCAGTGTCTAGCTAAGCCTAGCACTGCACGTCATGACGTAACGTTGTCTAGCATGGCATTGCATATCATGACGCATCGTGGCGTAATATGGCATTACAATGCACATATGATAGTCGCACAGCACCGACTTGCTCTGCACAACAATAAACAGAAATCATGCACATGTCACACCCCCGTTGTTGTCTTTACTGTCGTCCTCTGTAGTTTAGCCTAGCAGCTCATAGCATGGCATAGCATTGCATTGCATTGCATTGCAATGCGGCGTGCCGTGTCTGTGCAGACCATGTAACGCGGTAGCATTGCTCTGCGTAAGAAATATATCATGATGTGGCTCAGCGTACCCTCGAACATGTCATCATATAATTTCACAGCACATCATGGCATGGCATGCAATGTAGATTGTAGAGTATGTAATGTTATTCCATTGCATGTTGCATTGTGACATTGCGCTTTGTAGCGTAGCATGATGTAGCATGGCATTCCGTATCATAGTGCAACATGGCGTTGTAGCGTAGCATATTTTTTGGCCTATAGTTTGGCGACATATGACCGGTCGATGAGTGCGGAAGAGGAGAAATGAGGAAGAGGCAGGAGGAACCAGATAATGTTGTCTTCACTATTCATGACCGCCTTGTTGTCTCAATGCGGCCAGCACTCGACCAGCTAGAACCTGAGCGCGCGCGAAACGCGCTCGATGGTTCCAGTCTCTATGTATGTGCATCTATATATATATATATGAGTAGGCCCTAAGGGAGAGGGCCAGACCGCTGCCCCAGTGTGGCACGGGGGGCCAAACTAGCCTGGACCTTGGACCCGCCAACAAGGCTCTCAAGGGAGCCCAGAGGCCACCAATAAAGGCCCTCAAGGGGGCCAGAAAGCACACAAACTCTCCCAGCACGCCGACCATTGCTTCGAACATTGGTTCGGCCGGGCCAGAGCCCAGCCGGCCGCGGCACGTTTGGCGGATAAGGCGAAGCCCCCATGTCCTCCCTTCAAAGTTAACGCAATGGCCCTTGCACACGGAGCGGTCCGGCCGCATCATTTGGTACATGACACAGATCATTTCTCATGCGCAAGCGAAAAACAGGCCTTCACGGAGCGGCCTCGCCGCATCGCGCGAGGGAAGAAGATTTGCGCGACTTCCCCTCCGCCTCGACCCGCCACCATACAGACCCAGCGATCGTCGCTCGCCGGCTCCCAACGGCGACGACGACAACGATAACGACGACGACGACGTCGGGGCCTCCGCTGCCGCCCCTCTGCGGGCCTGCTGCATGGGGCTCCAGGGGGCGGCGGCCTGTCGAGATGCGGTCGCTCCGCCCGCCTCCCCCCTCCCTCCCTCGACGGGCACGTGGCTTCCAAGACGCCCCAGGAAAGCTTCGAGGTGCTCCCCGAGGGGCCCCAGGGGCGAAAATCGTGGATTTCACTTGGGTTTTTCAAGGATTTGGTGTGGCCCCCCGCTCCTCTGCCCGACGCTCGCAGACGGCACGAAAGGCGCCCAAGAGAGCCCCAAGACATCTCAAGGGGGCGCCAAGACAGAACCCATAGCCGTTTTGGCTCGAGAAGATATTTTGTTGGAGGTGCCGCTTCAACCAGTGTCTTGATTGCCAGTCGCATAGCTTATACATCATGGCAACACTCAGTGCGACCCAGAGGGTTGTGGAGGCATATCTCATCAGTGTCGCACCAAGCACGCCGGCATTTGGCTTCTGGACCCTGGTGCCGTGGAGCTCGCAGGAGAAGCCAGTCAACGTGTTCGCATCTCCCATCGCAAGATGGAGAGTCGGAGTTGGAGAGTCGGAGTCGGAACGCATCGCCCAGATAGTGGAGCAGCACGAGGTCATGTTGATCGTATCCGTATACAGGACGAGGAAAGAGAAGAGGAACGTGACAGGCCTTCTGAACTATCTCAGGGCGGCGCATCCCGACGCGGTCGTCTTCCTGGTGCAGCTTCCAGATCGGTTGGATCCCGAGCTGACCAAGGCCGACCTTAGTAACTTGATGATGCGGCATGACAGGCTCTACAGCTTTGGGGCGGATGGTGTGCTGATGGAGCTGGCAGGTGACCCGGGGGGGCTGCAACATAGGATAAGTTTGGAGCTCCAAGAGAACGCCGTTATCCAGCTGCGCGTGCGGGAACATATCAGCACTTTGACCCAGGGAGTGCCCTCTGCCATGCGGCTCAACGACATGGAGGACGAGTTCTGCAATTTGCTTTGGAATGACATCCCAGATCTGCTGATGCCCGATTTCGCGCCTCTGGACGAGCGTCTTCTGGAATGTGGGAGTCGGGTTGGGGATTTCCAGCTCGTCCGCCCGTATTCGGATCACCAGCACGTATCGTTGGCAGTGAACGGGCAGCATGAAAACGTAGTGATCAAAGTGTACGACAAGCGCAGCGTCACCGATGCCAAGCAGGTGGAGAGCATATACCAGGAATTCTGTTTATTGATGCACACGCTCGACCACCCACACGTCATCCGTTGCGTAGGCATGTTGCACAGCCAGCGTCGTGTGCATTTGGTTCTCCAGTATGGTGGAGACGTGTGCATGGAGCAGGTGTTGTCGACCCAACCTGGGTACCGTTTGTCCAGGGACGACGCCTTGGATTGCAGTACCCAGATCGCCAGTGCTCTGTCCTACTGCCACGCCCAGGACGTCGTCCATGGGCAAGTGTCTTTGAGCCACGTGGCTGTAGAGACAGCATGGAATGGGCACATCTGCCGCCTTGTTGATTTCAGCATGGCAGCCCACGTTCCAAACTCCAGCGCAAGGGAGACCCTGTGCGGATCTCTGCCGTGCGTGGCTCCAGAGGTGGCGCTGAACGAGCTGTACTTGCCTAAGCCAGCTGATTGTTGGAGTCTTGGAGTGCTTCTCCTGGAGACCGCTTGCGGGCAGGGTTCCCTCAAGTTGTCAGTCCAGTGGCGCAGTGGCGAGTCCCTCGCATACTCCGCGCGGCAAGTACTCCAGTTTTTCTCCCATGCTGGTTGCCACACCGAGGCGATGACGAAGATGGGTAATAGCTCACTCGACGGCATAACACTGGCGTGCTTGGAGGCGTTGTTGAAGCCCGAGCCGGCCCGCAGAGCAAGTGCCTCCGACATGATGGGGATGCTATCAACTGGGCGCAGCGAGCAGACCGGTTTTGATTAATTCGTTGTTGTTTACCTTTGCACTTTGGGTGCGCGTGCAGGAGTGCATGTAGCTCACAGTTTGTGGGCAGGCTTCCTGCGTCAAGCTTTCAACCTCAGACGCCGCTGTCGGTCCAGCGGCTCAGTGGCGAGTCCCTCGCACACTCCGCGTGGCAAGTACTCCAGCTTTTCTTCCGTACTGGTTGCCACATCGAGTCAATGACGAAGATGGGTAATATCTCACACGTCGGCGTAACACTGGCGTGCTTATAGTGTTGATTGATTCGTTGTTGTTTACCTTTGCACTTTGGGCGCGCGTGCAGGAGTGCATGTAGCTCACATTATGTGCGTAGGCTTTCTGCGTCAAGTTTTCAACCTCAGACGCCGCTGTCGGTCCAGCGGCTCAGTGGCGAGTCCCTGGCATACTCCGCGCGGCGATGATGATGACGCGCAATAACTCTCTCGACGGCGTAACACTGGCGTGCTTGGAGGCGTTGTTGAAGCCAGAGCCGGCCCGCAGAGCAATTACCTCCGACATGATAGGGATGTGATCTACTGGGCGCAGCGAGCAGGCCAGTGTTGATTGGATCGTTGTTGTTTACCTTTGCACTTTGGGCGCGCGTGCAGGAGTGCATGTAGCTCACATTTTGTGCGCAGGCCTTCTGCGTCAAGCTTCTACCTCAGACGCCGCTGTCGTTCCAGCGGCGCCGTGGCGAGTCCCTCGCGGAGATGGGTAATAACTCACTCGACGGCATAGCACTGGCGTGCTTGGAGGCGTTTTTACCTAACAGCGAAGACTGATAGGTTTCTAATGGGCTAAAAAGAGAGCAGCAGATGACTCCACAGGGGGGTCTGGGCGGGTGCCGGACAGGGTGCCGCAGAAGTCGTTTTAAGCCAACAGTCACACACTTCGTGCTCTTCGACCTCCCAGAACTCCATTCCCGGGCCACATTCTGAATGCCCGGAGCCAACTGTAGGCCACTTCGTGCTCTTCGACTTCCCAGAACTCCATTCCCGGGCCACATTTTGAATGCCCGGAGCCAACTGTAGGCCACTTCGTGGTCTTCGACTTCCCAGAACTCCATTCCCGGGCCACATTTTGAATGCCCGGAGCCAACTGTAGGCCACTTCGTGCTCTTCGAGTTCCCAGAACTTCCCGGGCCACATTTTGAATGCCCGGAGCCAACTGTAGGCCACTTCGTGCTCTTCGAGTTCCCAGAACTCCATTCCCGGGCCACATTTTGAATGCCCGTAGCCAACTGTAGGCAACTTCGTGCTCTTCGACTTCCCAGAACTCCCATTCCTGGGCCACATTTCAGCAGGGGCAAGAGCACGACGAGGAGGAGGACGAGCAAGACCAGGAGGACGAGGACGAGCAGGAGCAGGACGAGGAGCAGGAGGAGCAGGAGAAGAAGGACGAGCAGGAGGAGGAGGAGGACGAGCAGGAGGAGGAGGACGACCAGGAGGAGGAGGACGACCAGGAAGAGGAGGAGGAGGAGGAGGAGGGGAGGGGGAGGAGCACCAGGAGGAGGAGGAGGAGGAGGAGGAGGAGGAGGAGGAGGAGGACGAGGACGAGGAGGAGGAGGAGGGGGGGGGAGAGTACCAGGAGGAGGAGAACGAGGACCACCAGGAGGAGGAGGAGGAGGAGGAGGAGGAGGAGGAGGAGAGAACACCAGGAGGAGAAGGACGAGCAAGACGAGGAGGACGAGAACGAGGACGACCAGGAAGAGGAGGAGGAGGAGGAGGAGGGGAGGGGGAGGACTACCAGGAGGAGGAGGAGGAGGAGGAGGAGGAGGAGGAGGAAGAGGAGGAGGAGGACGAGGAGGAGGAGGAGGAGGAGGAGGACGAGGAGGAGGAGGGGGGGGGAGAGCACCAGGAGGAGGAGAACGAGGACCACCAGGAGGAGGAGGAGGAGGAGGAGGAGGAGGAGGAGGAGGAGGAGGAGGAGGAGAGAGCACCAGGAGGAGGAGGACGAGCAAGACGAGAACGAGGACGAGCAGGAGGAAGAGGAGGAGGAGGAGGAGGAGGAGGAGGAGGAGGAGGAGGAGCAGGAGAAAGAGGAGGAGAGGAGGAGGCAGGCTGAGGCTGAGGCTGTGACTGCGACTGCCGTTGCCGCTGCGACTGTCATCGCGAATGCGACTACGACTGCGAGAACAGCAGAATTCTACAACTGGATTTTCATCTGAATCTTAAGGGGAATGCTTTTAGATATGCTTCTAC